CTCTCACACAGCCTATCTTCCCAACAGCCGGATTGTACCTTCACCCTTGTCCCTGTAGTTTTAGTAGCTGCCGTCAAACACGCCTAGCTCTTTTCTCAAGGGGGATCCTGCGGGTGAAAATGGACAAGTTGAAGAACGACTGGCCGGGTGAAGGTTGCCAGCTCAGGCGCAACAGGGAGTGGGGATGACCAAAACCACAACAGTCTTGGGATGCCCTGCGATGTGGTCTAGTGATCACCGACCAAGCCGTGTTTATCGCCGCGAAAAGGACCGCAGGTGCTATAGAGGACTGGGTAACGACAACGCGTCGCTCTCAAGATTAGCCGTCGTGTAAGTATGTAGATAGCGCAAGATGTGAGCGCAGCGATTGTCGGCAGTACGAAGTAGGTGTCATGGTCCTCGGACTTGAAAGCGGACTCGAAGGCACAAAGACATGCATGTGTCTATGCGCCTGCGCCGTTCTTTCCAGCCTTCCTTTGGCGGTTGGCCCGGGTTATTCGCTCCTTGTTCGCCCTCAACCAATCGCTCGCGGTCCTAAGCCAAGCCACAGAAGCTGGCCCCGCCCTTGTCGAGCCCAGATCTGGGGATGTGAACGCCTGAAAGATCTAGGCGTGGTGACCGAACGTAAGATACACATCATGTTTAGCGATTGTCGTCTCGATGCAAGGTGAGACATGTCAAGGAATTTAAGTGGAGAATTCTCCAGGTCCAGCCAGGATGTCATCAGCAATAATGACTAGGGAACCACTTTCACAATGCACATCACGTGACGAAGGGCCAATGTTTGTGTTGGGTATCATGAACTTTCTTTGTGCAGCATTTTTTTTCAGCCTCTTCCGGGCCGTGGCAGTAGTGCTGATCTACCAAGGGCTGCCCAGCATGATCTCATGAATCCTCATCCGTCATCCCATCTATACCCATGCCAGGTTCGTAAATCATCCGCATCATAAATCAAAGCAAAACTTCACAAAGAGAGCGAAGCATTTACTTGAAGACCTTACCGTCGGCCCACTCCATGGTCTTGCCGTTGACAGTGATGGGCTTGTCCCATGCCCACTGGTCATTGACGAACTCACGGTCTTCCTCCTTGGTGGGGTCGAGCTTGGTGAACTCGTAGCTCTCGAAGTCGGGAGCGACGTCGAAAGCGGGGAGAGCCTCCTGACCACGGACAAGGAAGGCTCCTGTGACAACAGAGTCGTTGGACTGACCGTATACAGAGCAAGCTCCGAAGAGGTACTTGCGGCTGGCCTCAAGGCGAGCGAAGAAACCACCTGTGCAGCATTAGCATTGGTGCAAAGATGAAATAGACAGATACACTTACCAATCAAGTTGGAGGTCATGAAGGTGAGGGTCAGCTCATCGTTGTATTTGTAGTCGACCTTGTACAGGGAGTACTCCTCAAAGTTGGCGTTCTCCCAGAACCAGGGGAGGGCAACCTCGCGGGTCTCCTCGTTGGAGTACTTGCGCTTCCAGTCATCAAGGACAAACGTGGGCCTTGGAAGAGCCTCAAGAGGGTGCTTGGCCTTGGGCTTAGGGGCCTCCTCCTCCTCCTCAGGCTCTTCAGCCTTGGGCTTGGGGGCGGCCTTGGGCTGCTCCTTCTTCTTCTCGCCACCCTCCTTCTTGGGCGCGACGTTCTTCAAGGCCTCAGTGATGAACTCGAGCTTGGGGGCAACAGCTGAGTAGCTGGCCTGGTTGTAGACGGTCTCGTACCAACGGGTGACGTTGGGGTTGGAGTCACGCCACTGCTTGTCAAAGAAGAACTGGAAGCCACGGGCAATAATGCTAGTGGCAAAAATATCGGCAAGAGTCAGACGCTCACCGACAAGGTAGGTGTGTGTAAGAAGGTGCTCCTCGATGACGTGGATGGCCCTGAGGGCAGCCTTCTGGGAGTCCTCGACGTTCTTCTTGTTGTAAGGGTCGCGGCCGAGGATAGGGCGGAACCAGCCGCCGAGAGGAGAGAGGACCTCGCTGTTGGCAAAAGACATCCATCGTAGGATCGTGGCGTAGTCCTGCTTGGTCTTACCAAGAAGGCTGGTCTTCTCGTTCTGCGAAGCAACTGCGGGACGTCAGCTTTGAGTCACCACCAAGACAAGAAGCAGTCAAATAGAAACAGAGTTGCAAGCGTAAATCAGAATAGTAAAGTTTTCAACAATAGTTTTCAGACAGGGATAACTGAATGATAAACATTCCACATCATGTTGTGCAGATAGGGGCAGACAAGCGGGGTAGCACTTACGGTAGACAGCGATGGCGATGCACTCGGTGAGGACAAAGCCGTCAGCGCCCTCGAAGGTGGGAACCTTGCCGAGCTTGTTGATCTTCAGATAGTCGGTAGAGACACCCTTTGCAGGCTCGGTGTCGACAAACTCAATGTCGAGGCCATTCTCCTTTGCGACGGCCAGGAGAGAGGTCGTGCGTGGGTTGCCCTGTCGAAGTCGTGTTAGCACTTGTTGCGACGCATTCTAGTGCCGCAGCTGATAAAACACGTACCGAGTAGCTGTAGAGCTTTCCGAAAGACATGATTGCAGACTTGACCGTGGTTGAGCAAAACAATCAGTGTGAAGAAGCGGATGTGGAAGAAAAAAAAAGGCTGGTTGAAATGAGCGCGGGGCTATGGCCCTCGCAGAAATCTGTGTCTGTGCACAGACGGTAATTTTAGTTCGCCCGTCTTGGCGTTTTTGCACGCGGTTCGGTCGACGTTCAACCACTGGCAGTTTTTTGACGAGACAACCGTGGTGCGTGCGTATATGCCAGACACACAATGGCAAGCAGAGAGCTTTCACGGAGCATATGGAGGGCATTCGACGCCCTAGGAAGCCGTCCGCTACCCCAATGCCAGCGGGCGATTCGACCAGCTCAACGGAGCCTTCACCCTCAGATACGGCGATGCATCTCGACAACAGCTGCAAGGCACGCAGAGGTTACAGAAGACGAGCTACGGGAACCATTCAAGGCAGCGCCTGAGTTCGACTTCGATGGAATCAAGGGCAGTGGCGAAGAAGGAGAAAAGAAGAATATATTACGAACGCTACGTGTTGTCCCTGCATCGCCATCCTACTTCAGCGCGAAGCCCACATTCACCGACGACTTTCTCTCGCTATCCGCTCTTCTTCGCAAGGTCGCCACTCTCCCTACTATACCACCTGCAGAGGCCCCAAAGGTGGCGTGGAAGACAATTGAGCAATATCGCATCATGACCAACGAGCCGGTAAAAACGGCGCGATATCATAGGATGCTCCAGATTCTAAGAAAGTTGAACTGCATTCACCCCTCGCTCATGCCGGAGGAGGTTCTGCAAGCTATGCAGAGGTACAAGAAGCCAGTCCAGCCTGGAGACATCAAGCCGAAGCCTGGTGTCATTGACGAGCTTGGACGTGCAAAAGGCGTCGGGCGGAGGAAGACATCATCTGCGGTTGCATGGCTTGTGGAGGGTGAAGGTGAGGTACTGGTCAATGGCAAATCCCTCTCTCAATTCTTTGGACGGCTACATCATCGGGAGAGCGCGGTGTGGGCGCTCAAGGCTACCCAGCGCCTGGACAAGTACAATGTATTTGCACTAGTACAAGGTGGTGGTCTGACTGGCCAGGCGGAGGCAATGACTCTGGCAGTAGCAAAATCATTGTTGGTCCATGAGCCCGCATTAAAGCCAGCACTTCGAAGAGGTAAGTTGTTCTTTCTTTTCCTGGTCAAAGCCCAGGTGTCTTCATGACGGCAATGCTTTTCCAGTGGCTCTACGGATATGGCCAATGCAGGCACTGTGCCTGGCGCACGGTTGCGGTTATGCCCTACAGTCTCGAAAGAAGCCCCTGAACACCTCCAATTTGTTTTCTATGCGCTTTCCAAACATGATTGCTGATTGCTTTTCTAGCTGGCACCATAACGCGCGACCCAAGGAAGGTGGAGAGGAAGAAGCCGGGTCATGTCAAAGCACGCAAGATGCCTACCTGGGTCAAGCGATGAAGAATATACTTTGCACACACCATCTCTGTGTCACTGAGTGCGGGCTTGGTAGCATTGTCGAATATATCATCAATCTCGAGCACAGCCACGTGTGATGACCGCATTTTTCAAATACATGGGTAGCGGCGATTCCCAAGAATTACGTGTATCCTTTACCACTGTGCGCATTGACGATACTATCTATTAAATGCGCTGGGCTCAAAGAAAAATATAATGGCTTCAACGGCGTCGCGTACAAGTCGGACTAGTATGTCTGGAGGTGTAACGGATAGGGCATAAGCAAGCACTTTGTGGCTAATGCGCCGTTTATCTCGTCATGGTACACCTGCCGGGCCATCCCTCCATTCCCGCTCAGTAAACTTTTTGAGTATTAGGGTTGTAACGCTTTGGGGTTTGACGTGTGGTTAATCCCGAACTTAATGCGTCGTTTTACTTACAGACCGAGTATCAGCTTGTGCAGGCATGTGGGATCAACCCTGTCAATGTGGTAGTGGCTGCATGCTATTGGCTTGTCGGTCCGTCCCTGACAGTCTTTGACAACTGTCTCTTCAGCAATAATCCTTGGGTAGGATTACATTGTCGCATAGATTGACTACGTTACTGTAAGCACACGGCTTTGTTGATGACATGGCCGGCGCAAACGTCGGATTCGCTTCCCCGAGACATTGATCGACTTTGAAAAAATAAAATGAAGGATTGGCCAAAAAGAGAGTAACCTATGAGGGCGAAGCACATAAGCAGGGCACTGTTGGGGATAGGTCACTCTATTGCCGGTGGTATTTATAACCAGCGCAACGGTGCAGTGTTTTGGTAACTTGATGCGAGATGGTGACGTTTCTGACTCGTCTGTTTTGAACTCAGCAGCAAGGCGACCAATTAGGCAGTGTCTCAAACGGTGGTGCCAAGCATGCACTCGCATGGACGTCTCGGTTGGTCCGGAACATATGTATTTACGTACGTACTCATTGCGCGGAAGATGGGGAGTGGGAAGGTGCTAATAGTGGATAGAAAGACATGCATTCCGAGATGAACACTGGGATCTAGAAGGGGCGGGGGACAGGCTGGTAGTTGGCGGCGGGGGCTTCCTGGTCAGCGGTTTGGCCGCCGCTAGAGGAGCGTATGGAAGAAAGATGTAGTGTGTACTTGGATATGTAAGCAGAGGTAATGGCGATCCTGTTAATTGCGCATTGTCTTGGTGGTAGGTAGCGGTGACATGAATCAGGCGGGGGAAGGGTACGGGGGTCCTGTATTTGGAAGGGAGCAAAAGGTTCTCGAAGCATGTTCAAGGCCCTGTAGTGCTTTGCCATGTTAGGAAGAGCATTGGTGTAGTGTAGGCTGAGGCGGCAGCTGGGGCCACTTGATGATCGCCAGCCGTACCGAAATGACGCACTCGCATGGCCTGTGAGGACAGGCAAGGCGTCAATTGGACCACTTTGGTTTCGGTAGGCGACACCGGAGCTGCAGAGGCATGGTGTGCACCGCAAGCTTACTTGTCGGTACTTACAAGGCCGGCGGCGGCGGCTGACGGGGCTCACGTGGAAGGAGATTGATGATACTAACTAGAGAATGTATCGTGACCTGTTAGGCACCGTGCGCAGAGGCGTGTGGCGCGACAAGCGGTGGATTCCTGGTGTCATTTGCAGGGCGAGGCGGGCTTTTTTAGCTCCAAATAAACGGTGCAGCTTATTATTAGTGCTAGTGTGGGCAGCTCTGCCGGGCTGGGAACACGACGGAGAGTTCGCGGCAGCAGCCACTGAGGTTACTCGGCAGCATAGTCCGAAATGGCGCTAGGCAGGCTCGGGGCCAGGCCCAGGCGTTGGAGGTTAAGATTTGAGGAGGAGGATGGCGCGTACATATGCAGCACAAGAGGGAGGGGGGCATGGCGAGGGCAGACGAGGGCGGAGAGGCAGAAGGAGGAACATGTTTCGACGGGGCGCAGTGGTTGACGAGGGCAGGATCGACGAGTGAGGCTAGGGCGCAGAAGAATGGGACTGGGACTGGGACTGGGACGAGGAGCATCACAAGACAGGATCGACCACAGGCGAGCACATCCCTGCGCCTCGGCGGGAACTTGCAGCATGGCAGAGATGAGAGGTTGGCGGATCGAGAGTCGAGTCCGAGATAGCCCCTAAACCTTTTGTCATCCTCACGCTCATGCGCCCGCGCCCTCGCTCCAGCAATCCAGCACATGGTCTGCTGCTGCTGCTGCTGTTGCTGCTGCCGCCATGCACGCCGTCACGAAGACATGCTTGAGGCCGGCAAAGTTCGATGTTTGTTTGATGATTTGGCAGCAGTAGGCGACATGCAGGCGCGCTTCAGCAGGCGAGAGCTCCATGCTCGCATGCTCCATGCTCTTATGGACGTATGAAACAAGAGCGCGACGGGGCTCGGAAAAGCGCTGTTGAAGGTTAGCGGTTGCTCCCACGGCGCGCACTGCGGGCAAATGCTGTGCGGCGCGTTGTCACTGTTGCGCGCCAAGCCCAGCCTGGTGAAGGGGAAAAGTTGCTCGACATGCAAGCCTGCGACATTTGGCCGCCGTGGGCCCGCCCGACGAGTTCTGCTCCTCTGGCTCGCCATGTTGCGGACGAGGGCGCAACAGCAGGCCAGACGGCCCTAAGACAAGACAAGTGCTGCTGCTGCTGCTGCTGGCCCTGGGCTCGTGCAGACGTCGTCCGGCGGTGCAGCGCAGCCAGAAACACGACAATGCCCTGCAGCATGGCTGCACAGGCGCCTGCAGATCCACCATGGGCGATCCGTAACTATGGTGGACAGGACAGGGTATCTGCAGCCCCACCCTGACCAGATCGGAAATCGGATACTTCGCATGGTCGCTGACACTGCCAGCCCACCGCCCACACATGTCTGCTACTCGTCAGCACGCCCTCGTCCAGCCTGCAGCAGCCACACCCACTGCTCAGGCACCCACCATTGTTTTGCCCTCTAGTTTCAACACCCTGGCAGAGCCCATCTCCAGCCTGCGCCGGCGTGGCTTGGGCAACTCTTCCTTTTGGCCCTCACCCGCCTTGATGCCCTCCCAATGTAGCCCTAGTCATCTTGCACCATCCCAATCCCCTCCCGTCAATCTCCCTCCCCAGCCAGGTCGACAACTCTGTGTGTGTGTGTGCGTGCTTGCTACAGCCAGAGACTAGCATCGCCGACCAAAACAACACTCCCACTCCCACCCCCCTCCCCACCCACTACGCCCTCGCAAGGACCTCTTCCGGTAGCCACTCTAGGGCTCCCGTAAACCTGCCTCAAGCCTCTGCCCGTCGTCGTGACGCTCCACGCCCGCACGGGCGCCAGTGATCCTCGACTCTCTTTTCTAATAAAACCCGTCCGGTCTGTCTCTACCCGCACCGCCCTGGTGCTCTTCTCGACTGTAAACTGTCCGTCTGTCGCACTTCCAGCCTGGCCTCGGACCGACGGCTTCGTTCGTCTCTCTGCATGTACTCCTTCTTGCCCAGTGCGCGCCCTCCAAGACACTACCCACGCTGAACAACGTCAGTGTGCGTTTAGGCCGTTAAGCTACCGCAACGCAGACGTTTGATTGTTTGAGACGATCTCCCTGGACCGGCCGCTGCGAAGTCCGACTCGTTGGAACACTCATCGCATTGCAAGGACTACCCTCCAAACTTCTCACGCATAAGCCTCGCCTCACCACCAGCCCGCTTGAGACAGGGTCCTCCACGCTCGACTCCACCGGACAATTTCGCTGTCGGCAACTAGCTAAGTCTCTAGTCGGTCCACTCGACGCACATATTTTCTCCAGCATTTCCACTTCGGGTCCGGTCCCTGGAGCATTGCATTTGCCCTCATCCTCGTCCCACTCCCCAAAGCGAGGATATCCTGGTTACCGCCGAGGCTCTTGCGCGAGCCTCCTCAGCTGCATCATCGGGCTCCATTGGCCTAGTAGTCGACGTGTCAAGGCCGTGTTTATATCCATACCATCTGGTCCTTCAACCCATTTGGTCTACCAATTTTGGACGTCGTACATTTACCAACATCCGACCCGCATCCTCCCCCTCTCTTTCCGGCCCATTCGCACGCGCACACTTTCCCAAACGACGCGCCTCTTCCATCTGATCTGACCTGCGCACTCCCTCTCTATCACTGTCACCCTCACCTACGCCTCGTCCCCCGCCTCGTCTCCACTTGTTGCGCCCATCATCTTCGTCTAATCTTGCTCAAGCCTGCAAGCTGGCCAATTACGCGACGCCGCCAGTCTCGCCCTCGGCGTACCGGGCTCTCGAATCGCCCTTCGGTCTGCAAATGAAAGGCGGGCTGGTTGGGATGGACAATGACCGCCGGCCACGGCATACTCCCTCAGGTTACGCAAGCCAGCAAGGCACGCTCCTTCCACCACAGGCCTCCTATCCAGTGGTAAGCGCACCCGATCGCTTCAGGCAGCCGCCTCTGACAGCGCCTGCCCCACCTACCTCCCTCCCCTCTTCCGGATCTCGCGCCAGTCCTCAGGGTTACGGTTACGCTTACGGTGAAAGCGCACAGTTTGGCTCATCAGTCCAGCCCTCCAACGTTTCATATAGTGCCCAAGACTATGGCACCGACCAGCAGCAGCAGGCACAGCGTACTCCCCAACAATACTCGCCCTACGGCCAGAACATCATGTACGGCGCGCAGGCTTCCGCCACGGGCTCGTCGCAGTATGAGCCTGTGGAACAATACCAGCAAAATAGGGACTCGGCTATACAGGTCCTCAGCACCGGCTTTGGCGTTGCACAACAGCAATACTATGAAGGCGGGCCCACGAGCGCACCTGCTGCTACCATTGCCTCTCAGAGCGTCCCCTCACAATATCCCTCTCTCGCATATACAGCATCCCAAACACAGGTCGGACGAGAAGCCCTTGCTCCCGCCTACTCTGCTGCCGGCATGACGGACCCCAACCAAGCAACCTCGCAACCGGGCTATCCGCAGGCCAGTTATAGCGAGTCGCAATCTGGCAGTGGCAACGACTACGACGACTTTTACAGGACTTACCAGAGTGAGCTCAAGAAGACATTTGAGCATGTGCGTGACAGCCGGCTCAGTGAGGCCGGCACCATGCTGTTTAGAATGTCGGACTGGCTCTTGCACTTTGCAGAGACTTTGGGTAAGTTCCTCCATCTGTGTCGAGTAGAGCGAGCAGCTGAATTGACTGTAGCAGGCCTTGTGCGCGACGATGAAACCTACTACCAACAGCGCTTGCAGCTATGGGAAGAGTTCAACACGTGCTGGCTCTCGACCCTCCAGAAGCAAAAGGCCATGACTCAGGAAATGATCAACACAGGCCAGCGCCCGCAGGCCCCAAAGTCGCTTATTGACTATGACTTTCTGGAGAAGATGGGCACGCAGCTCGTCAAGAACTGTGATAGTATGGAAAAGCACGGTCTGGTCGACTACCAGATGGGTGTATGGGAGGAGGAGATTGTAGCAAGTGAGTATAGTGCCATTGTTGATCATGGCGCTTGTTGCTAATTTTTGCGCAGTGTTGACATCTTGCATGGACCTCCTTGAGGAAGTCGGCGCAGGCCCTTCAGCACAACGACCCACATCTACAGCACGCCGGCGATGATAACAGCAAGCTCTGGTAACGACAGTTGTGTTGGGGGCTTCCTATTGTGCGGCATCCGCCGACCGTTTCCGGCAATGCGTTGGCGCACATAGCGCCGGTAACCTCCAAACTCGCACTGAGTGCGCGACCGTGATCACAATACGCAAATGACGTGGCCTGCTTTTTTCTTACCTGTACATATACCGGTCATGGCGCAGTCCATGGGATTGTTTTTCTTTTCACCAAGTCTATAAAAGGCAATGGGGCATGAGGTGTTCAGGGCAGAAGGCGGTCTGCATCCATTTTCCTTTGGTCAAAAATAGCGCCATGTGCGGTCATGTTCTTTGTAGCGTTTCTCTCTCTCTTTTTGACGTCGTGTCAGATATTACTGCATTTTCTTTTGTCGCCAGCTCTTTTGGCTTTCACTATTTTCTTGGGTCGTGCATTTTTGGGGAAAGCGGGGGGGGGGGAGAGTCAGGGTACGAACGCAATTGTAACGCACGGTTCATGTTGACGACATGTGTTGGATGCACAGATGTTTTGGAACATGGTTGCTTTGGGGCTGGCATCGTAATGTTGGGTACGCATGGTCCGGCGCAGGCGCTGGAAGGTCTTGATGGGGAACGCGACGAAGCATGGGTTGATGAGGTGGACGAAGTGAAGCGCCGGAGTGACGAGTCCATGTGGATCCCACCGGACCGCGCTTACCTGAAAACAAGATGCAGCAAAGGGACGGTCAAGGATTTGGAATAGTCGAACGCCGCCAGACAAATCCTGTTGTGGGTGTTGGGCGACAATAGACTCTTCTGTCTTGGGCCTGAGAGATGCTAGCGCAGCAAACGACACCTCGTCACCACAAACCCAAAGGGCGATGCACTGCCAACGACGTGGTTGGGCAGCAACTGTACTTTAGATTTGCTTTGGTAATACTTAGAACGATACAGCTACATTGCAAGCCCGCCTGCTGTGAGTGCAAGTCAAAGTGATGTGAGGCTACCGAAGGATGAAATCATGTGGGGACGATCAAGTTGTAGTGCCATGTGCATGTGTGTAGTACTAGTAGTAGTAGAATGGCATCAGCCCATTTTTGCCACTCTCGTCTTCTGGGGTTGCATTGGTGCGCTCCGCGGGGATAGCAAAGCCAGCCCACCATGCAGATTGGATTGCAGCCTTGTGTATTGATAGGTGCAGCCAGCATGATCGTCTATCTATGCCCTACACTACGACAGGATCGTGTTCAGTCTGTGCAGCGACTTGGCGACGCGGCACGGTCACGACTCGGGCTTGGAGTAGGAGTTAGCAGTGAGCCACATGAACAGAAAGCCAGATCGAGAAGCGCCACAATCACGGGCAGCAGAAGAAGCAGCTGTCGTTGTTCGCATAAGACGGTCGAGGTCCCGCCCCTTGCAGCACATCCCCAAGGCCCATGTTGGATGCTATTGGACCCGGTCGGCGATCATACAAGATCGGATCACGGGCGCAGTATCGCCAATAGCTTGCTGGGACCACCGCGGCGTCCAGGACCTGTGTCGGTTCCACCACTAATGTCCATCAGGAAGAATCCTTCGTGTCGACTCCATGTAGGTGCAGGCCTGGTGAAGCACGCCCGTGGCTGTCACGGTCGGCACTCATCCGGTCATACTGCCCTGCCCCGCTTCCTTCAATACTCTGACCCTGGCAACTCCAATGCTCCAGGGCCCCTCAGATCTGCCATGTACCAGGGCCCCGTCAGCCTCGTATTGTGGGCTGAAGTCATGACTTGCTCTCTTTGATTGCCAGCATCCTTCCTTATGCAGCAGCCCGGTCGCCGCCACCAATCGATTGCAGACCCTGTTGGCAGGAGACGATCGGCTCGTCTCCTCCGTCCTGGGTGCTCATCCCATCAGCCCTCAATTGCGCACCAGTCCCGACAGGATAGCGGACAAATGCATGGGAAATGATACCCCTACATCGCGATACAACAGGCTAGCGTCATTTCCATAATCCATCTCTCTCGCCCAAGCAACTTGGTTCGCCTGAACTCCAGCTCCCCCAGAATAGATCTTCACTGGGGGAACATCCAAGCTCCAGTGTATACGGTCCGCCCGGCGATTGGCTCGGTACACCTCTGCTCAAACTGCTACCTTGCACACTGACGTGATAGGACAGGCGCCCACCATGAACTGTGGGCCCTTGCACAATCTCAGCCCGACATGTCACTACGACTGCCCACTCACAGTTACCACATCACACCGAACCAGGATATCGGTACCCAGTCGGCAGTCTTGCTTTATGCTGCGAGAACGCCCATCGCTTCGTCTAAATTACATGGCTCTACCTTTTGATGTATGCCTCATTTTTGTCGCCACACAAGTACTCCAACGCAACGTGCCGGATTACCGTTGGCTGGAAAACACCGCGTGCATTTCAAGTAGCTCGCGGTATTGTACACATTGTGCCATCGACACATAACCAAGGATGGCTTGGATATCGACACGCATTGCACGCGTAAGCAGTGTAGTGGCTGGCACATGACCGCGGCAGCCATCAGCCCCAGACGCAGCTGATACTGTACCCGGCGCTCCAGAGAAGAGCACGCGTGCATCACAAGCCCGTGTCGTATACCTGTTCTGCCAATTACGTCACGATATGGATATATTCTACTCCACATCTTCCGTAATTCGCCTATCAAAGCCGGTTGCCAGTCGCGGATTACGCTGTCATTGAAACCTTAGCCTCCCAACCAAGCCTTGTTTTTCGTTCCTTGGTCTTTCAGGGGCGGCTCAGAATACTAACCATAAGCTTCTGCTAAAGAACAAGAGAACAAATATAGTAACAAAGCGGATATCGAGCGGGAAGGTAGCCCTTGTGGCAACAATCACCGAAGCTTCAACAAAGCCTTTTCTTGAAAGAGCATTACATGCTGGGCCTCATAGCCACGAGAAGGTCATCTCAAAATAGCATCAAAACGGAAGAAAGTGGCCAAATTAAAGTATCTTGCTCAATCTCTTGGAATACTTTCTCAGCTTCTTGCGCTACGTTACTTGAAAAGGATCTATACCAAGCAAAGAAAAAAAGACAACGTATTCCTAGCACTGTTGTCCTTCTCATGCTAGAGAGAATAATCTCTTGCGACATCACCTCTCTGCTAAGAATCCGCATGTCGCAATCACAGTCACGATACTTCGAAGTTAAGCTTAGTAAAGAGTACACTGGCGCTAAAGCTGCATCGGACTAGGCTAGTTCTATCTACGTGCTGAACCATATATGGTTCTACTATCTGAAGCCATGATCGCACTCGAAGATCCGTCGTAATTCAGTTCATATTGCTCCTTCCATATCCAGCTATAAATTTCCACCAAAACAATACGACGAGCAATACATATGCGTATACTGAGATTTTACTTAATAAGAAGATGTGCATGAGCGTACAGCAGTAGCATCGCTAGGAAAGGACTTGCGCCCATTGATACATATAACAGCTGCTCAAATTGCAGGGCTGTTGTAACGAGATCACAAATGAGCAAAGCAGGCAGTGCTTCACCATTACAAGTTCCGGACTTCTGCGTCCGCATGTTCTAAGCAAAGTTTGCGATCAGATGACAAGCCTATACAATACAAGACGGCTGTACCCTTTTGATTTATAAATTGTGATCTCACTGAGCACATGCATGTAGTTATATGTGAAAGCAAACAAAAATTTACATTACATGTCGCGAGACTGACTCCAACATGCATATCTAATCTTTTGCAATAATCATTCCCTAAGAAATGTTCGTAGTACTGCACAACATACCACAATGACATCAAACCCCCAAACCCCCAACTCCTACTAAGAGATATACCAAAGAAAACTACATTGTGTCGTTCATGCCAATTTTTGACCCCCAAAAAAGGATATGAAATCATTAACTCGTCTTACGCATGACATCGCGTTACCAAAATATTCTTACCACTCACTCCTCTTGCATTGCCTCCCCAACCGCCTCCGCCCCCACCTATTCATTTTCTATGCACAAAAGTTTTCTGGGGTTCATGTAGGCCTAGGGCAGTCCGTTTACAGAAAGGGAAAAACAAAATATCCGGTGAGAGAAAGAGAAAGTCAAGAGGCGTAACGCAGCTTTGCATACCCGACGTGCGTTGGCCTAGACCCTCCAATCCCCATGCAGACAAAAGGTAAACCCCCCCCCCGTTGGTTCAAAATGCAGTGTGCCGAGCCAAGTGCCGATTACCGTTGGCGGGAGCGGACACGTGCATCACATGATGTTCTTTTTTTCAGCTTTGTAGAAGAAATCTTGGGACCGAAAGCGTTTTTAATAGTGGGTCTGGGTCCTCGGGCGGTGAGAGGGTATGCATGATACACGCGTAATCGAGAGGGAGGGGGAAGGGCGTGTAAACACATGCTTCGCTGTATATGCATTGTGGTGAGTTACATAAGCCATCGTGATGCGTGAGTCTCTCATACGTGGGTGAAGTTGGAAGAAAGTGAAGAAAGACCTTCAGTGGACGTTCTTTTCATTTTCTCACATCATTGACAATTGACTCCTTGACGTACCAGACATGCCGTCCGCTTCCGACAAGTCTTCCTTCAATACGCGGGAGGTTGTTCTCACCCACATCCCTCTTTTGCTCCACCACTTTGTCCGTCCACTCGAGCCACGCTTTGTCTTTCAAGCACGCGCCCCAAGCTAGACTCTTGCTCGTGAACAAGCCGATGCAAAACGCTGTATTGGGGCTTTCATGAAGTGCCAAGTAGACAGTGACCTCGCTTCTCTTCGGCATGTTAAGATCCTGGTGGCTGTCGAATCGCGGAACTGGTTGGCTGAGCGGATGCGGGATATCAAGGCGCATGTGCTGTCCGTCTTTCTTGGATGTTTCGCCCGGCACAGTGGCAGTCACCCCGGTGGATTGCAGCGGGTGCGAAACGATTTTGATGCGGCCTGTTGGACTGAGATATTCTGAGCCGTCTAGTAGCCCCTCTCTTGAAAATGAGTACGCGCCGTGCTGGAATGCGCCCGCTGTGACTGTATCGATGCTTGAAAACACTCCGAGGAACTGGCATGGTTGTGTGTTGTACGGATACGGATCGTATTCCAGGACAAAGAGATTGGGCAAGGGCTGCGCCAGGCTCATCATGGACTGCGGTCTACTTTTCTGGAGCCGACTGCGCGATCTGTCCTGTCTTTGATGCAGCGACTGTACTGTCGGCGGCTTATGCAGTTTCCCATACTTTTGCTTTCGCTCCGTGACCGTATCGCTCATTGATCGTCTTCGCTTCCCCTTTGTCTCAGCTCTTTCTTCGTATTTGCTGCGCATATAATTGCAAATCGCCCCCAATTCTCGAAACTCAAAGTGGCCCATTGTTCAAAGAGCGGCGTGCGCAACCCGCAAAGTTGGAAGTGAGTGAGTGCCCGGGTCAGCCAGTTTTCGGCAAAAGCGAGTGTTGTGGTTTGATAGGGGTGCTGATAAGACAAGGGGGGCAATACGACCACGACGACAGGTAAAGACAGAGAGAGCGACGACGGATTTGGTAGAAAACTGCTAGAACCGAGCGAAATTTTAGCTCATGTATCCATTTGGGCCAATTCGATTGATGCGACGGCACGTTTCACTGTGCGACAGTTGTCGCAGGCATGCATATGGGGGTTGCGTTGGCAAGGTAATCATCATTGGTACTTGGTACGTCATTAGGGGCCGACACAGCCACCCGGCTAGCCACTTGCAGACATTTTAACAGACCTCCTTACTCCGGTCCCAGACTCCATCTCCTTGTACCAAATCCTACCGACCCCATTCTGGCCATTCGAAGGATTCCGGCAGTTAATTCAACCGGACTCGGCATGACGGTCGGGAGATTCGGACATGTACTTGTATGTTGTATACACAGCTCTTAGGAAAAGTGGCGATGAACGGTGCACGCATGATACATGCTACGCGCATCGCTGCTTTTTTTCATTGATTTCTCAACACAGACTAAAAATGGTTCTTTTCTTTTTGTTACCTACACGTCTTACACACAGGTCTTGCGTGTCTCAACATATTCCCCAATTGAGCCTATCACACTTGTGTGAGCACAACCCTCTGGCACCAGCGTGAGAGCCAGACAGTCGTGGTGGGTTTCCTCATCACCGCCTTTTCATGTGCATGGTATTGTATAATGTTATTCTTGAGACTGACTCTAGATGACAACAGACTTGTGTAAAGCGAACGTAATTCTTGAACAATCATTACATGGTGAAGCCTACTGCAGTAGTCGCTGATTGTTGCGTAAACTTCCTCTTAGCTTCTGCATTAGCTCTAGAACCTCCCTTTTACTGCCATGCAATCTTGGCCCACTCCTCCACATCTGCCCAAAGCACCTCTGGCCTCTCCAATGCCGCGAAATGTCCACCCTTCTCATGTGCCCTGAAGAAAACGACCTTCGCTGTTTTCTCTGCCCAAGCCTTTGGAATCGGCGAAAGCTCATACGGAAACCAGCTGTAACCTGTAGGCTTATCGACATACAACGTCGTCCTGTTATCTCTATATGTGTAGATGGATGTTGGATAGCAGCCAGTCAACCAGTATAGCGTGATATCCGCCAGGATGGTATTGAGAGACGGTCTCGTAGAAGGGTCGGACCACGCGAGGAACTTCTCTCCAATCCAAGCTAGTTGAGCAATAGGTGAACTGGATAGTACCAGGCCAATAGTAGAGGGCTTCGTCTCATGTTCCTTGGCATACGCGTGTCCTACAGCTATGAATGCGTCGCCTCTCTCGATACCCACTTTCTCCGCACTACTGATCTCGTCGCTGGGCGAAGAGTAGTCCTTGATGTCCTTAGTGAGCATAAAGTTCAAGTGCATACCCTTGCATTCAGGGTACGTTGCAGCAATTTGTCGCGAGAATATACTGCCAATATCGCCGCCCTGTACGAGATAGCCTGATTTTCCGAATCCCAGTGAGAGCATGAGCTTATGCATGATGCGCGAAGTATCGGCAGCTTTCCAATCCTTGTCTACCGGTGGGTCGGAAGAAAGAGCAAAGCCGGGGAGAGAGGGCACGATGATGTGATATGGCAGAGTGTCTTGCGTGTACTTTCCACGCAACAGGTCCATCATTGGTACGAATTCGAGGAAAGAGCCGGGCCACCCGTGAAAGAAGGCAATGGGGATAGCATTAGGGTTGGTAGAGAAGAGAGCGACAAAGTGAATATCGTACTTGCTACCATCATCGTCGTTGATGGTGGTTTTGAAGTTAGGGAAAGAATTGATGATGCTTTCCTCTTTGCGCCTAGCAAAGTTCAGTTAGAAGAGCAGCCTAGGCACTTGACAAAAAGACATACCAGTCAAATTTCTCGAGCCACTCCTTCTTCGCATCAATTATCCACTTTCGACTTATTCCAAACCTGCCATATCCACCTTCATCCTGCTTATTCTCATACGTCTCTTTCGCAATTGGACTGAGCTTGAGCAACGTCTTGAATTCTTGCAGCTTCTCTTCCTCAATATGCAGCTCAAACGGTGTTATTTGTTGAGCATCCTTGAGTACAATGCCGAAAGGCTTAGATGGTGCCATTGTTTCTGTGAGTACTAGGCGTTGTCACAAGCTATTTCGATAGGCTTTAAGAGATTTAGTTCAATTGAAGAGAGTGAGCTTGGAGAGTCTTTATCTCGGTGATGAGGTTGTGTATGTAATCAACTGGGCTTACAAATGCCCCTCTTCCGTATTAGGCAAACCCGGAAAATCGATGCAACCACATACGTAAGTAGTTACCGTACGCTAACAGTAGGTCATCAGCAATACGAAGATTTATCTACAACAACTCCCAAAAATCGTACAAGCGCAGCAAGACAAGCTCCCATGATATAATATTCAATTAATGCTTCTAGATATTGGAGAAGGTTGTGGTTGTGCTCTACTTTCATGCTTCGGCATCGAGGTTGTAGAACCTTCATTTTCCGGTTCTCCAGATTATTGGAGAAACATACTAATGCATTATTAATACAGCAAAAAGTGCACGTCAGAGGCGCATTTCAGATTGAGACGTTTGTTTTACACAATTTTTTCGTCTAAGAGCACCGCATACACGCCGAAAAGTAGTCCTTGTACTTACAAACCCCCAACATATAACATTTGTTGTGCCCCACAGCTAAGTAGTTCCTTGCTGATCACGTATTCCACATGACTCAGTTCCTATCACAAATGCAATCCCTGTAAATAAGGAAACTATGATTTCACGACAATTCGTTATGTGTGCATTAATTTTCCTCTAGGCGCATTTTCAAATGGATACTGAGACAGGCTGTTCGCGAGTTCTCGAAATAGCAGAACAAGTTGGGATACCCAAGTATGCCCGAGCACGGTGACTGATCGAGTTCCAGATAGATGTGGGGAAATGACAGGGAAGCTGCTAGATCTAGTGGTAGGGATGTCCAGACTCGACGAATGTTTGGTTAATTTAGTTTGCGACTGAATCATGCGAGTAGATTGTAAGCACAGAAAAGTCAAGTAGCCAAGATTCGTAAATGTAAGACTATACGCGTAAGCGGAAAACTACACTCGTAAATGTTTTGGGAATAATTAGAGAATTGGCACAGACAAGGGACGCATATTTGAACCAAGAAATAAATGAAATTAGTATGCGGGCAGTTATTCGCCCATTATCATCCACCATGCTCCACCAAATAGTATGGAAACAACTATGATAGTGAGGATGGCTGCAGCTGCCTTATCTCCTGTTGTTATCGCATTGTGCTTGACCTCGAAATTTCCAGCATCACTTCCAGCATTTGGGTCGTTTTTACTGATGCCTCCCGTGTCCAATCCGACCGGTCCAGCGACCTGGTCAATGAGGAGGTTTTGCATCACCTCCAATGCAGACATTTGCTCTCCGACGCCAACTTCTCCGTCGTTTACGCCGTTCCTCCACCAACGAAGACCACATCCGCCTTTTCCTGGTCCGCATTGTTTTGCTGCTGCCGCAGCAGAAGCCTTAAGCTTGGGCATGATCTTTTCTCTTGTCCAGGGAGCGGTCAGCATTGTGTACCCCATCCAGCGGCTGAGATAGGCCTTGAAAGAGCGCTGGTCGTGGTCGCAAAGTCCATTTCGCTCACAAGCTACTTCGCTCATGACGTCTGGTGCGCCTTCCGGGTTGAAGAAAACACCAACACCGTCGATAATTCCCTCCAAACGTGTCCGCCAGTACTCAGCTTGACTCTGTAGTAAGTTAGAAGATAATTCAGAGAAAAAAGGTAGATCTTAGGTGACAAACTTACGGCGTTACCCCTAGTTTCTGACATATTCCACAATGCCGCGGCGCCCGACATGTGAATACCTGCGTTGTATGTCCATTGAATATGGTTCAACTCTGTGCAATTTTGTCGTTCGCTGGTTCCATCATAGAAATGATAATCTGGACTCATCAGCCCGACGCTGAGTTCCCACTCCCACGCTCTTATCGCCCACTCGGTATAGGTGTCGTTTTTAGTGTATTTTGCAAGCCTAGCAGCAATGTTAAAAAAGCATCCATTTGAGATTGTGTTCTTGTAATCGAAGCCGTTGTTGAAGGAGAAAATCTGCCAGTTAAGTCCACCTCCACAGGTCTTAGGATTCCAACGCGGCACCTGCGTGTTGAAGACTGCAATAGCGAGTGATAACCAGGACATTTGTCCTTCAGCGTCTGGAAGCTTGTTTTCAGCTGCTGACAGGGCCGTCAATGCCCAAAAAGCTTGATCGTCGTTTCCTAGAGTACTGGTCTGGTTGGGTGGCATAAAAGCCTGTGGTTGACCTATTTGATGCACCATAGCTTGTGTTGTGATGTTGTTGTATGTATCGTCACCAGTGTAGTACCAGTAGTCGACAAAGGAACCAAACATGGCACCGCATAGCCACCAGTAGTAGGGGTCTGGCAAGTTTCCCGGGACGTCTCCGGGTCGGTCACCGGTGTACCATTCTCGAAGGCCTGCAGCGACAACTTTGGTCGCTTCTTTGATAGAGGCTGATCATGTTAACGGAGCTTACATAGACTTATGCAGGGGAGAGCGAACCTGGATCGTCAACATTCAACTCTAGTGCTGATGTGGTAATTGGCGACAGTATTCCCACTGCACCGAAAAACAGGCTGGAAGGCCTCATGACGGATCTTCAAGATTATCACGAATAGAAAGCAGGCATGCAAAGAGTCGGCATATGGCGACGTGGGGAAACGAAGGTGCGTCAAGTGGCTCGCAAAGGACGAGAGTGGGAGTAAGAGCGAAAGAAAGAGAGAGTGTTGGACAGCGAATGTAGCGCAAGTATGTCGTAGGGAAAAGGAGAAATCTCGAATTCACCCTACGAAGATTGCGAGGCACGATGAGTTATGAAACCCCTTGGGAGGTGAGGCCAAGTCATGGCGCAGTGCCGCAGCAGGTGCTGGGCGACAGTGCGACGCTTGGAAGTCATCTCTCCGCGTGGTTCAAGGCTGGGGTTGGGTGCTACGACTGGGTAGCAGCCTTGGCAGCCGAGCCTGAGACGCTTAAAAAGCGTCTCATCTCACAAGTACGGCCTGCGTCCCGTTTGAAATTCAGACCAAAGCGGTAGGCCTGACACGAAGCGCCAAGTATTACGGCGGTGTTGGCGTCCCTTGGAGGGAGGTTGGCGCCGAGCGCGGGTGCCACCAGCACTGCCAAATCCTGCCAGACGACATCCGCATCGTCCGCCCATCTGCATCTACGCTCAAGACTGACGGCATCGACAGCGCCGCCACTGTTTCCTGCTTGACGGGCGATCCGGGGAGATCATGTGCGCTACATGGACGGATCATCATGTCCTTCCTCTGGGCGGATCGCGTCCAACGGGCGACAATCTTGCCCCCTGGCAAGCCTAGCGACGAGTTTCAACAAGCCCAGAGTAGCAACGCCAAAACAACATTCATCATGGGCCCTTTTACCGTATTATGAGAAATCAGTACAACGTCAGAAAACGTCCCCCATGCGTTACACGGTGTTTGTGGGTTACGGGCTTGTCAGAACTACGGGCGTGTCATGGCTACGTCACCGTACATACGTGCTGTAGCCTCTCTTTTGGAAACAAAGACAGCAAAGCTTATTGTAGAATATTTGAGCGAGACCGAGCTATGGGCATTTGGGCCACCTCGGGTTCATTCAGCACCAACGTGCATCCATCTGCTGTGAGACGATCCAACTCCTGAGCTCTCTGGCCTTGTTGCTCATGTCCATGTTGGTCTTCGCATCCATATGGCTTGCAGCGGAAAAGGCGTCTACGACTTTTGTAACCGCTGCCCCGTTGTCTTCGTCAAAGGGAACCATGTCGAGAAGTTGCCGTAACGAGATCGAGCCTAATTTAATCCGCGATTGTACAACATAATCGACGCTAGCAGTATCCCTGTAATCCAATGTTGTTCGTGCTACCAGTCCCCACCTGTCTAGTTTCGTAGAGCATTGACGAGCATACAGCTGCTCTGTTGATGCCAATCGTACAAAGGCTCTCACCACTGCGCTCTGCGTGACACGATGCGAGGACGAAATCTCCAGAAGATTAAGGAACTCGTCGAGCGAAGCAGTACCGATGAAAGTATGGCGGTGTTGGTACTCCATTTCCCGTTCTTCAACAGTCAAGATGTCCATCGTAGCATTGCATCGAGCAGTGCGCAGCTGGTGTCGTGTACTGACAGGGTCACAGGCCTGGCTAGAGGATCCGTAACATTGGTGCTGTCTACTTCGTCTCTGGATGGGGATCGCGGCGTGCTCCTGGACTCGATGGAAAGCTGTATATAGGCCTTGGTTTGTTGACCTAATGTTCTCAACTACTGTACAGCCATGCATTAAATGGCTATCTGCCGTTTGACTTATAGGGGGTATATCCAAATCATCGTCGTCAAATAGTGTCGTATCCGAAGTCGGTGATGCGCGCTCGCTCGGGCTATTCATCTGAGGCTCTGGTATAAATATATTGAGGGCATGTCGATCTTCCGGTGCAGGAAAGCGGAATGTAACCATTTCCTCTCGTCGCGAGCTCGGAGTTTGTTGAGAAGGCGCCATAGCGTTAGGTTGTTCTTCCGAAGGACTCAGGTCTGTCTCAGCATTTATTTTTGTCGACCGGGTTTTTCTTGAGGCCTCCAAGCTGCTCCTCTCTGCATTTAGTTGAAGAGCAACTAATACCGCACTATTCGTACAATCGCGGTCTAACATCGGTCGCCATACACTAGACCTTCGGCGGTGCACTGTTAGGTACAGGCGGCATGTCAGCCGAGCTTTACGGGTATCCCCTTAATTCGTGCACAGACAGGCTTACTTTTTGCTGGTTCAACCCTTTCCAATGAGTCGATCTGGGCAGTATTGAGTCTGCGCCACGATCTTCTTGGGTTGCGGTGAAGGAAAGTAAGATTATACGCGCTTGCGATGTGTGCGTGGGACTTCCTTGGAGATTGTTGATTGTCTATTTTTACGGCGGAGAACTTTGTTTGCTAGTCGCACATGTTGCCACGGTTGCTGGCTTCATGGTGGCTTTAAATGCCTGAGGGTCTGGAAAAACATGTGAGTTTTGCGCGCTTGTAGAGATGGTGCAGTTGTGACGATGAGGTGAGAATCACGCGTAGCAGGACACATGGCAGGAAACGTGTAAGCTCCACTTTCGCTAGCCTGCAGGGTTACATACCATTGGGGGACACCAGAAGCGGACCGTGTAATACCAACAGGGTAATTCTCTTACTGGAGCAACCAATGCGTCGAGCGAGAGGGCAAGGTGACCGTCGGTATAGGTGGCTATAGGTGGGTAGTAGGTAGTCTAAATACGCAACCTGCTTACAGTCAACAAACGACACAGTACTACCAAGATAAGCATTCAACGCTCCAATTGGAGCACCTGAGTGTATAATTGGGCAGTTCTGTTTTTCTTGCGTCCAATCCAGGCCACAGCCAGCAAGCGTGCCAGGAACTGTACAATGCAATGTCGCACTAGGAGGAATCTGTGAGATACACATTCATCACACACACTAAGTACGTTCACAAAAAAGGATAAATGGAGTCCTAGCCTTAAATTTGTATCGTGTTTTACCGACTTCTAGACCACTTGCCCTCTTCCTCTGCCACGCGCCATACGTACACTGTGAGGAATGAACTTGAGGGCAGACATACTCGACGTTAGACTATCCATGGGGTCTACAGTTTGCACTGATGAGGTGTATTTGGGAGAGACAGTCGCTTGGGGACTTCCACGTCCAATTGCACGACCGGGGCTTTGACCTTGGCCAAACCCTCCACGTCCATGAAGCTTGGTAGGATAGCGTCGAGCCTCTCCCTGGTTGTGTTCTTCTTTCTCATCTTCGTCTTGGCCGCGAACGACATCCATACTGTCATCTACTGTACTCGCACTTGACTCACCTCTCTTCCTCCCAGTCGCTCCACTGGCACCTCCTGCTGAGCTCAATGTGGAGCTTCTCCGTCGGTGAGGGGGTATCAGCATGCTGCTTCGTCTATCGATGCCATCTTTTACGACAATGAAATCGTACTCGCGGGGAAACTGATGCTTATCTATGCAGTGTAATCGGCGCTTCTGAGGCGTGCTGCATAGCCGATCGCACTCTGGCAAAAGACAAGCGTACTGGAACAGATCAGTTGGAACGTCCATAGTATGCTGTTGGACGTACTTATCACCCGCCACACTTGGAGCCCCCAGATGCAGACAGAGGTCTTATCGCCTTTTGAGTAGGAACGAGAATCTGGGGGCTAGGGGCGGACATGCAAGAAACGAAGCAAAGACGCATGACCTACCGTTTTCTCTCCCTGATCCCGCTTGGCAGCATTAATGGGGTCATGGTACTCTGCAATGTGCAAGTGCAGGTAGTGCTGGTCTGGGAAGTTCTTGTGGCATTCGCTGCAACGGTTCATGTGGAACTGATGATAGTGGACATCGTGTTCCTCAATGGAAGCAAAGGTAAGCGGGTCGTGCGGGGGCAGTGAGCACTTCATGACGGCGTGCTCGTGTGATACAGCGGAATCGGCGTCTAGCTGGACAATCTTGATGTCGACCGATGCCTCACGTGAGTACGAGGTGCTGTGGGCGTCTGGTGACGACGAGTCGCGGTGTGAGCGCTTGACTCCCATAATTTTTTTGGGTGTTTGCTTGCTGGGTTGACTAGAGGGAGGCGTAGTATGAAATTGGGCAGTACCTTTGACTGGCGAGTGATGGCGCCCGTGTCTTGTGCTGCGAGGCTGCCTCAATGGCGCGGGGTGGCAAAGTGCGAATGTGGTGTGATGTGGTGGGCGGGCGGGTAGGATAGTAGTATGTGTATGTAGTCATAGATGGTATACGTACTACAGGGAGGACATGGTAGTCGGCCGGGACGTGGCTGCTTAGCTCCGACATTCATGGCCACTAGTTCGCGACTCAGCCGCCGCCGACTTGACTTTCTCACACCTCTCCACCACGGCCATCGCCTCCCAATCTGACGCCATACATTTCTGCGTCTTGGGTGCTGTTTGCTTCCGAGACCCTCACCCGCGCTGATTGTCCTCTACCCAGGGCACGCCACTTCACCATAAATGGAGCACGCCAGCCACAACGCCCGCCGTCTGCTCCGTGCCTTGGTCTGACCTGCCCGCCGACCGTGGGGTCACATCTGAACGTCGCCGGCTCCTGCATACTCCAGTCATGGCCGCCAACACCGAACAACTCGACAGGTGCGCTTTTCCCCCTTACCCCCGTCCCATCATACTCACATGCTGACTCACCACAGGCGGGCGAGAGCGATTGCGACGGAGCTCTACAGGCGCGTCGATGGCGGCTCCGGGTGCGCCGAACTAGCTGCCGTGCTGCAAGAGTAGGCGATGATACCTCCCAATTCCCGCGACTACTAATCCCCTATAGATACCGTGCCGCCTGCGAGGCCCTCATCTGCAACTTCGAATACGCGACCGCCCACGAACTCCAGACGGCGCTGTGGAACGCCCATCTCAAGGTCAACGCCGCTTTCCGACAAGAACACAAGCTCGTATGCACCATCGAATCTCCACGCTTACAACGGCACTAACACGTGGGCAGCTCAAGCGCTCCAAGGACCATGTCGTGGAGATCCGAAAGTTTCAAAAAACCTATCTCCAATTCATCAAGGCCAGCCAGCGCTTCTACCGCCAGTACATTCTGAATCTTGATGCCCAATTCCATGGCATTCCCGAGCTGCGCAAGATTGCCCAGAAATGGAAGGATGACAGTAGGCTCCCTCTCCCCGCCAGCCACGCCAAGCTTAACCGTAATGCAGCCTCCAAATCGTCTCCGCGCCGACCCATTCCTGCGAATTGGAAGACGCAGGTCCTCTTCTCGTGCCACCAGACACTCATCCAACTCGGCGATCTCTCCCGCTACCGCGAGACCGAACTCGTCGATAAGAACAAAGAGCGCAATTGGGGCCCCGCCAAGGGATATTACGATTTGGCGGCTGAGATTTACCCAGACTCTGGACACGCACCGAATCAGCTCGCCGTAATTGCGCGCGAGGACGGTGATCACTTCCGTTGCGTGTACCACCTGTACCGCTCACTTGCAAGCAAAGAACCATACCCTCAGGCCAAGGCCAACCTGGCCACCGAATTCAAGCGCGTTATTGCTGCATGGGACAACGGACAGCTCATTAACAACCACAAATCAGCCGAAGGAACGACTGGTCGTGCTCTTATTGCATGGTTCATCCGGTTGCATAGCAAGATCTACAAAGGCGAGGAATTCGCGGCACACGATGAGTTGGAAGGCGAGGTACTCAGCCATCTAGCCATTGAGCTCAAGGAACGCCCGCTGGATTCTGTTTTGACCAAGATAATTCTCATCAACATGTCGGCAGAGTACTTTGCCACCGTCCAGCTGCAAAGTATGTTGAGAATTCTCTGTAATTGACTGTGCTGACTCCTCCAGGCGAAAAACCCCCTCCTAACATTATGCGTACATATTTCTACTACCTCCGTCTGAATGTCAAGACTTTCTTCATTCTCTTGCAGGTTTTGCAGCCAGAACTAGACCGTCTGTCGGAAGGCAACGACGTGAAGCACCAAAATGGAGAACGTACGATGCAACTCTCAGACAAAATCACCGCTGTAGCCCGCCGTATTTTGCCAGGACTTCGCCTGTACAGCACATGGTTCACACGCTACTGGCAGGTGCTCAATGCCAACATTGCTGACACCCTAAACACTGTCGACGTGCAAGAGCTGTGGAAGGCATATGCCGCGACGCTTTCCCTCCTGGCTTCCAGTTTCCCGGTCGATCAGCTGCCCAAGGAAGTCTACATGCTCGAGGAGGATACAGACACCATTGGGTTTGAGCCCCTTATTCACCCTGACACTATGAAGGTGTGGTACAATGGGGACAAGATGAAACCAAAGTGGAGCGAGTTGAACCGGAACCATCCGAACGTCGAGATGCTCATGCGAGTCAAAGACCTACTCATCGATGGTCTGCTTCTTGTACAGAACCCAGATGCTCCTCTGGACCTCGCAGGCCCGCGATTCATCTATCGGGAAGAAGGTGTGCCATCTGAATTGTTAGCGAGCCCCACCAATCAGCCTGACGGCTCTCCTGTTTTGTCTGTGCAAGCAGCTGATATGCCTCTTTTTCAGCATGTAGAGGCACCGATTCCGGATGACCAAAAGTCTTACAGTGTTGCTGCAGCCTCGGAATCCGCATCTATCACGCTCGCCAAGGACAACGCGATGCGAAACATGGTAGATGATTTGGTAGGAGAGGAGGCCGGATTGGACCCGCTGGTTGAAGAGGATGAAAACATTCCACCCACCCCACCGGAGCAGACATTTGACGACACCACTGTTGTCAATGATACCACGTACGCTCCGGCAACTTATTCGATCAATGACTTGGTCAACTCGGTCAGGAACTACAAGCCCTTCTCTCCTGCTCCTGCTCCTGCTCCTGGATTGCTTTCTACGCCCATGGATAGGACTGCATCTACTTCTTCCATCCGCCAACCACCGAACCTACCCTCAGTACCCGATGGTCAGTCGAACTCGAACTCCATCTGGAACCGTGCGCCCGGCCCAGCATCACCACCCATGATGAATTCCAATGGGTTTGGAAACGATGTTCGTAGGTCTCCTATGATCGGTACTAAGGCTGGTATGTCTGGTCATGTACGAGGAGATTCGGCGAACTCGCTTCTGAGTGCCGACGTGCTGACTCCTACTACTAACCGGACCCTACGGCCCATCAGCGGTAGCTTTAGTGGCGGTCTTGGTAGTGGTGCCGCCTGGGGAAACCAAGGAAGCAGCCCCGTGCCGTGGGGGCCTGCCACGTATAGTAATAACTTCAACAACAACCAGTACGGATACGCCCCCAATGTCAACATGGCGAGTCCGCTGCTGTTCAACTCATATGGTGAGGGCGCCAATAATGCATGGGGCCATACGCCGCCCAACGGCCAAGGCGGTTGATTGACGGTGGCGCAGCCGTAGTAGGCTGCTCGTTGCTGTCTTCTCATCAATCGTCAAGGACTTCGAGATCCCTCTGCCGTCCTTAGCTGTCGCTGTGCACCAACAAAGGATCGGTTTGCACGAAGCATGCATATACTGATTTGTTTCTGCCTGATACCTGTGCAACAGTCAAGGCGTCTATCAAAAAATTCTTGGAACAAGGTCTTGAGGGATCTGGTCCGGCCTCTGGAAGTTACTCACGCTTTGGTTCACGTCCTGACGACTTTTTGTAGTGAAGGGAACAAGCAAAGGAGGGGAAGGTGACAAACTCGATATGCTTCACATTTGAGATTACTGTGGTATTTTTGGGGCTTATGTTGACTTTTTGTGTCTATGGCATGGCAGAGGGGAGAGGGCGAGTCTTTTTATCATGTAGCTTGCTGAAGTCGTATGGCGGCGTGCTGTCCTTTGGGCGAGTGCAAATGTCGAGCCGCCATGGGTGGGGGGCCAGTCGTGACAGTGTTTTGTGCTTTAGGATACTATCATGGAGTTATGCGTATATGTGATGTCTTTCTTGTCTAAGGTGGCGTGATGATGATGACGGTGGTGATGGTTGTGGTCGGTGTGTGTGTGACTAAGCAGGGCGGGTGCAAACAGGGCAAACAGCAGCATGCAAGCAAGGCGTAGAAGCGCTGCAGGGTTTCAGCCATCGCACCTTCACACTCGAGCGCGCCTGCTTCGCTGGTTTGCCTTGTTTTCTTGGACTGTGCCTGCTGATGGAGAAGCGGCTGCTGCTCCTTCAGGACGACGCTGGACTCGTTGGGGGTGGCTCATAGCCCGCAATTCCGAAAGGTACTCACCCACTTGTCGCTGTGCTGTCCCGCTCCATGCCACTCCGCTATCGCGAACATCTCGCCCGCCATGTCTGCCGGCGGCCCTGGAGATTCCCGGGAGCCGTCCACCCTATACAGCTTCACGTCTTTAATGAACTCGCTCTCTAACGGCCTCGCAGGAAGCATCCACCAAAAGGGTAGCAGGTTGCCCACCATTCAGCCTGCGTCGCCGCCGACCAAAGGCGCGCCGCATTCTTCCACATCGCCCAATCAGCCTGCATATTTTCCCATTCCTAGGGGCCACCCACATGTTACAGTCATTGCAAGCTCCGACTCTTCTACCACCGAATCTTTTTCCGAAGTGACATCGTCATCGTCGCCGGACTCGCTACCCAATCCCCAAGGGCGCAACGCCCCTACCACGCCCCAGAAACAGGCGCGCAGCAACAGGCGGAAGCAGTCGAACAAGTCGGGCGGCAGATGGAGTAGGGGAGGAGGCTCATCAGACGATACCGGGTCTGACCGTAAACCCCCCACGTCACAGCCAGCAGAACCTACGCACAGCGCCGCCTCGTCCCCCCAGAGCGCGTCCAAGACACGCCAACAACCTTATATTGCTACAAACAACCCATCGTCGAGCCAGACGCGATTCATGGCAACAGCCTTTGGAGGTCCTTCGGGAGATTCGCGGAGGGGAGTAGTCTCTCCTCGCCCCAAGGGTCGCGGTATGAGCCAGCCACACATGCATACTCTAACACTGAATCTGACTGGCCCTGTGCAGAAGCGAAGAACACTCTCTGCCGCAATGTCACCATATACGGTCACTGTCGGTACGAGAATAGTAAGTACATGTGACCGCATCTGCCAAAGTGTCTGTAGTGACCCTGTCCAGCCTGTCCGTACATACACGACAACCTCAAACTGAATCAGAATGAGAACACCAAAAAGAGGTTCAATGTTGACTCGCCATCTTTCACTCCGTTGCAAGCAAACACGAATGGATCCGTGACACCTTCGCCTCGCAGTGCTGCCATCTCCCCTAAGGCGGCTAATGCCGCGGTCTTTACACCCAAATCACAACGCTCCAGTGAGTCTTGAACAGTCGTCAGCTGTACTGACGTTCGCATGCTGATTTCTTTCAGCTGTCACCACCCCGCGCGTGCATACAAAAGAGCCCGCAATTGATTGGCATTCGCAAGACTTTCAAGAGTTTGTTCCACAGTCCTTTGACGGTCAGCAGATGGTGCGTGGGGCTTTCATTACATTTGGTTCCTTGTCCTCAGAATGATTTGACATGGCGTGCCTAGCACCCATCTGGCTTGAACGAGGGTCTCGACTTACAATCAGTCCAGGTAGATCCTAATCTTGGCTACGATCCGTTCAGTACCCCCACTAGCATATCCACACTGGGTGGTCCAAGCCACCAGGCCGCTACCATCAACCCTTACGCGCAAGACGCTTCAGCGACGTACTTTCAGAACGCCAATGCCTTCCAGAATCCAGCCTATCACTTGTACTGGCCTGTAGGACCTCAGCCTACCGGTTTGCTTGCTTACCAGCGCACTGCTCATGACTTTTTCATACCCGATGCGCTGCGAGAAGAATTGCAAAAGAAGGCAGAGGTCGCACGCCAGATTGCCCCAAACAGTACTCTGCCTGTCATTGAGCAGTTTCATTCGTTGTTTTGCTTGGATATGTCACCTCAGAAAAACACTGCGCCTTTCGGATATGCTAGCTGGATATACAGAGCTGTATCCAGCAAAGATGGAAAAACATACGCACTGCGCCGTCTCGAAAACTTTCGACTGACGAATGAGACTGCTATTCGCTCTGCTCAACCATGGAAACGTGTTCTGAACGGCAATGTCGTTACTATCCATGAAGCATTTACCACTCGAGCATTTGGCGATAGTTCCTTGATCCTCGTCACAGACTACCATCCGAATTCCAAATCTCTTGCCGATGAGCACTTCAAGCCCGTGCAGCGTTTTCATGGAAGACAGCCAACATCATCGCATGTACCAGAGCAGGTTTTATGGGGTTACACTGTCCAAATTGCGTCAGCGTTGAAGGCTATACATGGGTCAGGATTGGCTGCAAGATTGATCACGCCTTCAAAAATCCTACTTACTTCAAAGAACCGGATACGGTTAAATGCCTGTGGCATCATGGATATTGTTCAGTTTGATAATGCGCGATCTGTGCCTGAGCTTCAGGCAGACGACTTTGTTCAACTTGGACGGTTGATACTTTGCATCGCGAACAACAACCCAACAGCTCACTTACAGATGCAGAAGTCCATGGACTACATTACAAGAAGTTACACGGCCCGCCTCAAGGAATGTGTTCAATGGCTCCTCAACCCCCAGCCACCAGCTGGAACGCCATCATCTCCCACCTCTCCAGCGCCTCTGCAAAAGGACATTGACACTTTCCTTGGTGGGATTGCCGATCAGTTTGCATCTGTTTTTGATAGTGAGCTCCATGCACAGGACAGCCTCACAGTCCATCTTGGTAAAGAGTTGGAATCATCACGATTGGTCCGCCTGTTGATCAAGCTCAACATGATCAATGAGCGGCCAGAGCTAGACGCGTCCCAAAACATGCCAGGGAATAGTGGCGCAAATCCGTCGTCTGTATGGGCCGAAACTGGCGAGCGCTATTACCTTAAACTTTTCCGCGATTACGTTTTCCACCAAGTGGATGCAAATGGACACCCCGTTACGGATCTGGCGCATATCCTGGACTGTCTTAACAAACTAGATGCCGGTACAGATGAGAGAATAGGACTAATCAGCAGAGACGAGCAAAATGTGCTGATTGTAAGCTACCGAGAAGTGAAACGAGCACTGGAATCAGCATTCCAGGATTTAGTACGGGCGGGGCGGAAATAGGATTTCATCAGGTCTAGTTCACTCGGATAGCCTCGCTACTGACGCAGGCCATCTGCAAGCTTTCCCAGTACGCGTGTTAGGGGCAAGCATCCATGCAAGATGACATTGTCATAATTGAGATTGTTGATAGCCTACAGGCTTCTTCAAAGAGAATGAGTGTAGGGGTCATGACGGGCCAGGAGCTTGTTATCAAGGGTGAAGATGCGGGGGATTTTGGCATGAGCTACGCAGTGTTGTATCGAGGGACGGAATAGTAGGAAACAGGTCAGACACAGATTATTCACAACACAATCAGACGTTTTTTCAAACTTTGTTTTTTTTAGAATGACCACTGGATGGAACCTTGACCGCTAAAGCAAAGGACTAGGGATGGTGGTCTGATGTTCGGTAACTAGAACGTGACGGCGTGACAATAACGGCAGTAAAGCATGGCCTGGCAGGCGTATGTGATATACCTATGCCCCTCACTCTTGCTGGAGCCCAGAACCATATCTTCTTCCTTTCCTCAAGCACAACGAACATATGATCAAGGATGCTTGGTCGGCACCGCCTCGCCAGTATCGCGCCGCGGGGCTCGGCGGATTTAGCACGACTTAGCGCGAGATTTGCTGTCCCTCAATGTCCGAAACTCCGCCCCACATTAAGCACTTTCTCCCCGCTACAACTCCAACAATCGCCTTTCCTAAGAAAAACAGCAACCATAACAACAACCACAACAATGCCTGGAAACTACGAGCTACTGTGCCTTGAGAACCCGCTCCTGGACATCCAGGGCGTTGGGTAAGTCGGACACCCTCCCCTAGACAGCTTGTTGCCATGATGCACCCTAGTCGTCGGGGTGAAAGAGCACAGCAATGAGCTTGCATTGAGAGCTTGCATTGACAGCTCGCAGTGACCAAGCTCTTCTGGACAAGTATGATCTCAAAGCCAATGACGCTATCCTCGCCGACCCAGAGAAGCACATGGGATTGTACGAGGACTTGATCCAGAACTACAAGGCCGTCCTCATCGCCGGTGGTGCTGCGCAGAACACTGCCCGAGGTGCTGCATACGTCCTTGAGCCCAACTCAGTCGTCTACATTGGTTGCATTGGCAAGGACAAGTACGGTGAGACTCTCGAGAAGATCTCTGCCGATGCTGGTGTCAAGACCGAGTACCTCTATGACGAGAAGACCCCCACCGGCCGCTGCGGTGTTGTCATCACTGGCCACAACCGCTCACTGTGCACCGATCTCGCTGCTGCCAACAACTACAAGCTTGAGCATCTGAAGCAGGACCACATCTGGAAGCAGGTTGAGAACGCCAAGGTCTTCTACGTTGGTGGCTTCCACTTGACCGTCTGCGTACCCGCCATTAAGGCGCTTGCTGAGGAGGCTGCATCAAAGAACAAGGTACGGACATGTTTTTGATCGGCCTGATAAAAGTTCCAAATACTGACTGTTTGACAGCAATTCATTCTCAACCTCTCCGCTCCATTCATCTCACAATTCTTCAAGGATCCTCTCGATGAGGTCATCCCATACGTCGACATCCTGATCGGCAATGAGACCGAAGCCGCAGCATTCGCTGAGTCCCACGGTTTCGAGACCAAGGACGTCAAGGAGATTGCAAAGAAGATTGCCAGCCTGCCCAAGAAGAATACCAACAGGCCAAGGACAGTCGTCTTCACCCAAGGCACTGACCCCACCATCGCCGTTACTAGCAAGGAGGGTAGTGAGCCCGAGGTCATAGAAGTTGCCGTACATGCCATCAGCAGCGACAAGATCAATGACACCAACGGTGCCGGTGATGCATTCGCTGGTGGTTTCGTCGCTGGTATTGTCCAGGGCAAGCCTCTTGAGAAGGCCATTGACATGGGCCAGTGGCTTGCGAAACTTAGCATTCAGGAGCTCGGTCCCTCGTACCCACAGCCCAAGCAGACTTACAGCGGCTAAGCGTTTTTCACATAATGTGAGCGTGGAAGCTCGTGTATTTCAACAATCTACGAGAGAGAGAAGTAGCATGCCACCACAAGGTAGAGGCATGCTTGCCGTCTTCAGGCCTCCGCATTACGGGGCATCTGGATCTCGATATCGACATTGCATAATGACGATGTGTTTGTTTTGGCGTAGGGCGATTATAAAAGTAAAACATGGCCTTTCAACAGCCAAAGATAGATACCCTCAGCGGTTAAGCTGCTAGATAACGAAGAAAATGAGATGACTAAAGTTGCTGCATTATCATAGAGGTATTCTACATTTGTGTAATTATGAAATGTATGATTGTGTGATTCGTATACAGCATTAACAACGGCTCATCGCTCATCTTCAGATACCATTCATCCAAGTCTCCACGCTAAATAATCAAGTAATAAAACGCCACACCATGCCTCGTTAGATACATTATGCGTCCTATTCCTCGTTGTCATCGTCATCATCTTCTTCTTCCAGGTCTGTACGCTCAACGATGAGATTACCACTCCGCCCAATGCGCTGCTTGATCGAGCCCCCAGCCTTCAAGTCGTAGACTTCTCTCGGCATGGGCGACACAAGCTGGAACTTGTACTCGTGCTCGAAATCCTTTGGTTCTTCAACCTTTTCTCTAGCTTCATTTCCAGACTGCAAGATGTCATAACATTCGACGAAAGCGTAGAGTTCCTCAATGTCCGCATCTGCTGCAAACTTGCGCACTACACGTTGAGCGTCAGGCATACGCAGACTAATTCTCACTACATTAGTCTCGCTGGCATCGGGCTCTGGACGTATGGAAGCTGCGCGCCACTTGCGCCATTGCTGGAGGTTCTGGGCGTAGCGCTCAATGGCTTGTTCGCGCTCGAGAGCTTCCTTTTCTTCTCTTGCTTTGCGCTCTGCCTCTTCCTTCTTCTTGCGCGCCTTTTCGCGGTCAGCGGCAAGCGACCGCTCGTATGCGCTATTCTGCTGCTCTCTGATACTGCGCGTGGCCTGCTGTTCTGCGCGCTGACTGCGCACGCGGTTCAGTGGCTCAGTGTGCTGTTGCATTGCAGTGCGCAGTTTGGCAACGTATTGCTGAGGGGGCGTCGGACCTGTGACCCGGGTAGCGATACCCATGGCGGTCGAAGATACCTGTGGGGTGTGTACAATCAATCCCGTAAATGGGAACTTTGTGCATGAGAGCGCGGCGGAGACTTGGTATGCTTCGGAATCCTGAACATTGCCTACCCAGAGGATTATGTTGTTGTCGGGATTTCGTACAAACTCGACGACTTCAGGCGCGAGAAGCGTATCGCGAATGAAGGAGGATGTTTCGTCGTGCTCCGGGCTGATGAGGACGACCATGAGGAATTGGAGGTTCTTCTTTGCCAGGTCGAAGGCTTGAGCGTATCCGCTCTCGAAGAACGGCAGGCTGTGGCTTCCGTATTCCTCCTCGAATTCGCGGATAAATCGGGCAGCCGTGTCTCGTGGGTTCAAGGGCCGACGCCCGCTTGTGCTGCGTTGCGACGCAGGCGTGTTGATATTGCTGGCTGTAAGCCTCCCCCATACACGAGGTAAGAAAGGAAATATCCATCCTAATAACCGGAAGCTCTTTGAGAACAAAGAGTATACAAGCGAGAAGGGCGCGAAGAAGATTGCGAGGACCAGCGGAACTTGAGTGCTGACCTGGCTTTCTGGCTGCGGGACGACCCGAGGCGCTGGCTCTATCATTGGTCTCCTTCCACTACTTGTTGACGACCGAGGCGCTCCGAAGCCATTCAACAATGTTTCTTGCCGCCGGGTATCTCGTGGGGGTTGTTGTGCGGCAGCAACGGCGACGGGATCTTCGGTAGGTTCGCCATCAAAGAAGCGTGTGACGGCAATGTTGACGTTCCATTGCGCTCGCTGAAGGAGGGGTATCGCGGCGTCGACTGCTTGATCTGTGACAGCAGTGTATTGCTGAAGCGCAGCTTGTTGGTCTGGCGAGAGTGATCCGATGTCTACGCCGGTATCCGCCATCCTGGCGTCGGTGACCTTCGAACCTGGTCCAAGGCTTGTTTCAAAAATCGCGCTCGTGGGATATGGGAGACGAGTTCCGAGTAGACGGGGTGTAAAATCTGAAAGGACTGTGATGTGATGGGGTGTATGGTGGGTGAAAGTGTAAGTTTATACGTTGCCTGTTCTTCGCGGCGATGATGTACATCGAGGTGGTCGTAGCTTCAGCCCACCAACTTTGTACCGAACCCAAAGGTGAGGCTAATCCCCGACTCTTGTCACGCAAGGTATTGACAACCCAAGCTATTGATTCGCCCAAGTAAAACTGTTGGGCTGATTCAGCCCTAGTTTCTAGTCCGAGTAGTAGATTTGCACCCTACAATGAAATATTTTTTTGACTTCGTCATGGGTCGTCGTTGCCTCTACCATGGTCGGGAGGTTCAAACTGGCTGTGCTGAAGTTTGGACCGCCTGTATTAAACAGAGCGCAGTATATACAAGGCGCAATAGAAAATCCCCTATATTGCAAGCATTATCAACATATTACAATGCTATCAGATATTCACATATTTCAAGTGCAAGTAAATTTGGGGCTTGAATTCCAATGAACGCCACATCAAATCCGATAGTTGCGGGTAGCCAAGGTGGCTTTGAAACAGCCACAGAGACACAACGTACCCATCAAAGCATATACCGAGGCCATCTTCTGTGCAATTGCCAAGGGTAACAAGATGCTTCACTTTCCCATTTCGTGATTGTGGCGAAATAGGTCTGTTTTCGAGGACTTGTTTCCAGAGAATGATGCAACAAGTCGGCTTTCCCGACAGATGAATATACCTTGTGGCTACAGTTGTGTGTTAGTAATTGAACTTATAGATTGCCTGACAACACGCTGTATTTTGGGGGGTTCAACGAGTTCGAGAATATGTAGTGTCATGGGGATGAGATATGCCCTACTTGTATTTCAACGGGAAGACATCTAGGTTTGCATGGGATTGAGATGGAATAGGGTTGTAATGCAGTTAAAAGACAGGATGCAAACGAGCCGCCTGAGCTTCTGCAAGTGTTTGCAAATCTTAGGTGTCAAAATGCACAAGTTATGATCATGTTAATTTCAAAAAATCTCAATGTTCACGAAATCAGCATGCCGGGTTGGCGCAGTGGTAACGCGTCGCACTTGTACCATGTACAGTTATGCGAAGATCAGCAGTTCAATTCTGCTACTCGGCAAACTCCATTTTGAATGTGTGTCTTTTTTTCTTTTTGCTTCATTTTGTAAAGTGATATTAATGAGATCAATGAAATGTAAAGAGTAGATTTTACAAGATAGCAGGGTTACCATGCTTTGTACGCACATAACATATATACATGGAAACGTATTGCTTCTCTATATTGACCTAGTTATGGTCAAGAACCGCAGCAAGAGGACATGACGTCAATGCTCAAACGAATTCACATCATCTGATTTCTCTGAATATGCTCTTATCGTCTCTTGGGCAAACATTAAGTTATATTGTGTTTTGGTTGCGATTCGCACCGCCCACATATATCAAAGTTTTGCAATGTTACAAAGCGTATGTCCCGACAGATAAATTACGGAGGTCCGACACATGGAATCAGGCGGTTCCGTACTCAAAAATCGTCGCATTTAGTCTTGTCTCGTACACACATGACGCGTCTCAGCTTTCAAAGAAAGATAGAGATAGAGCATGTATGTATCCAGCTCGAAATCCGCCAAATGGAACAGCGGATTGAGCGAGGCAAGAGACTGAGGTTTGGTTACTACACGGGAGACTTGCGCATCGAGAGCCTTTTGTCTTTCGCATTCATGAATTTAATGAATGATGTACTGAAACACAGTAGTTGCGCCGAGATGCGTGTGCAAAGACACCCCACGGCCGGTGGTGAGGGTGCCTTGTAGCTAGAAGGTTGATTGGTAGGAGAGCGGAGCAGTTTCGCACCGAAAGGTTTTTCTTCATGATTATGTCACGGTCTGGGCTATACCCGGTTCGGCATTAGTCTCTTCATCCTTCTCTGCTATGCTTCCTCAACACCAGCCACTTCACGCGGCATATTTAGCCATTGTACCAATGATATGGCTGCACAGATAGCCGTGTTTGCCATGTTCGCTTGAATGCGGGTGCTAGCCTCTGGATTTGCTGCTCGAATTGCGACATCGCCTGCGATAGGTCTGGCATGCTTGATATGGCGCTAGCTTCGAGTTGGCATCCCGTGCATGTTCAAGCCGTGTGTATAATCGAGTGACACATGAGAATTTGCGAAGCTGATTTCCATCTTTTCCATCTTGGATTCCACTCCTCCTTAAAAGTCTGGTTGAAGATTCTGGTCTCCCAACTGCTCTTCGAGGATGACGGCTCATACTCACATTGCAGCCATGGAGCACACAGGCGGGCCTCCGGCAACTGGCCAAGACGCAGAGTCAGGCGCAAACGCGGCAGTATCGCAGGAGAAAGATCTAGCAATTGGCCTTGTAGGGGAACACGCGCAGGTAATCGACCCAGAAATCGAGGCTAGAGTTTTGAAAAAAGTCGACTGGTTCTTGATACCTGCCATGATTGTCGGTATTTCTCACAGCCCATAACCTACGAGCCCGTTTGAATTGTTTGATTAACCCAAAGCTTAGGATATGGACTGGTGTACTATGACAAAGCCATCTTGGGCTCCGCAGTCCTATTCGGCATGACAAAGGACCTCTCACTCAGCATCACAGACACCAGCATGAGGCCGCCTACAACAAACACATCCCGTCTGTCATGGGCGACATCCCTCTTCTACTTTGGCATGCTAGCAGGGCTCTACCCCATGACTTTTGCTCTACAGCGCTTCAATCTCGGCCGCATACTGGGTGGCGTCGTCATGCTCTGGGCCCTGGTCTGCATGCTAACCGCAGCCGTCACCACGTACAAGGGGCTCTATGCGCAGCGCTTCTTTCTCGGTTTCGTAGAGAGTATCATACCGACTGGTTTCATGACGATAATATCTAGCTACTACACGCAGCAGGAACAGGCTATACGGCAGAGTTGGTGGTTTAGTTCTACAGGCCTCTTTACGATTATCGGGGGTGCACTCAACTATGGCTTTGCACAGATTACCGCCGGGGATTTGAAACGCTGGCAGTACATCTACCTTTTGGCGGGCTGTTTGACTTTTCTCTTCGGTATCTGGTGCTTTTTTATCCCCAACTCGTGTGCTTCGGCATGGTTTCTCTCGCCTGCAGAGCGGGTTGTAGCTGTCGAGCGGCTGCGCAAAGGCGCGACTGGTGTGCGTTGCCAGAAGATCAAACCCGCTCAGCTCAAGGAAGCAGCACTGGATATCAAACTTTGGCTCGTTTTTATCCTCATGGCTTCGGCATATACGGTTAACGGCGCAGTGTCTGGGTTTGGTCCGCTGATTGTTAGTACATTTGGCTGGTCGACACTCGAATCGATTCTCTGGCAATTTCCCCTCGGCGGCTTGTGCCTCATTACTATCTTGCTATGCGGGTACCTCAGTTCACGGATCCCAAATATCCGTCTCATTTTACTCGTCGTAAACTGCCTCCCTGTCATCGCTGGCTGTGCTATGATTTGGAAAGCAGAATGGACCTACCATGCTGCCACCCCTGTCGCAGGATACTCCATCATTGGCACTTTTGGCGCCGTCGTCAGCCAGACCATTGTCATTGGCATGTCTAATGTGGCTGGAGCGACTAAAAAGAGCGCCATGGCAGCTGCCATCTTTGTCGCGTATTGTGTGGGGAATATTGTTGGACCGCAGTTGATTGACAGCCGAGAAAAGCCAGCGCATTACCCAAAGCTGTGGACCGGCTTGATTGTTTGGTGTGTATACTAGCCAGTACCTCCTTCTCTTTTTGACACTAATGAGATATGTAGTTACTGTATCACCATTGCTGCAGCTGCAATGCTCTATCTTGTCCTTCAACGCGAAAATAAGAAGAGAGATAGTATCCCTATTGACGAAGCGGAGCGTGACAAGCTGGCATTCATGGATTTGACTGACAAAGAAAATCCTTACTTTCGATATGTTTTGTAGTCAGGGTAGGAGCGCTTTTGTAGGCGTTGAACCGTGAAGTCAAAGAAAAGTTAGAGTTGTCATAACTTTGGCATGGTTCTTCATCCCATCACTGTGACGAGAAGAAGAAAAGAAATCAGATAGGAATAGATGAGGTGGAGATCAAGAGGGAAATTTGTGTAATTTCGATAGCAACATCGTCATGTACAGCTGCAAACCCAATCAACCGGGAACCAAAACTGCGCGACCTGGCCGACGGCTACAATCCAAGAACGGCTCAAATACACAAAAAAAAGTCCAGTCTAGTCCCGTACAACAACGCCAGTAGCAACAGGGACACAGCCTTTCCACCCACGTGTCACATCCGTGTACTCCCCCCTTCATGAAGCCCTGGGGGGCATGTAGTAATGCTCGCTCGAAAAACAAAGGAACAAGGAAAATACAGAAGACGCCAGAATCCAGAGACAAAGAAGATAGACACAACGCCCTTGGTTTCAAACTCCAAAGGCCAGTTGACTCAACAGATTGGGTTCACTTCACTGTATGCGTCCATTGAAAGCTCAAATATGCAGCCGTCGTCGTCGCCGCGCATCCATCGCTTGGCTGACTGTTGCTCCTGACAAAAAGGAAAAGTGAACGATAGGGTATAGTTGTAACAGGGAGGAGTGCGGACAAGGCATCTTCACGGTACGAGATAACAAAAGGAAAAAATTGTTGACGCTTCACAGTCATCCATCAATGAAGTGCTCGAGGTCGGGGTCGAACGCCAGCCTCAGTCGCGCTGCGTACTCTGATTGTGGGTGGCCGTATCTCTGGTGCATCGGCCATGGCAGCGTCGTAGCTGGGGACAGGCGGGCTAGTTTCCCTAGACTGTTGCTGATTCTGTAGGAGTGGTGCTCGCTCGTCCCAATAACCGTTTTGATGGCTAGCCGTGTTTCGCAGGCTGGGAGAGCCGACGGGACTGGTATATTCGGGGGGAAGCTCACCAGGTTGCAGAAGAGTCAGACCTTGGTTGGCTGGGATTGTCCTTCGATAGTCCTCGCTGGTACCTTCGCCGGGGTCATCGTTCGAGTCTACGAGGCTGAGTGCTGCGAGGGATATGTCTGTCGGGCTACGTTGGGGGCCTGGGCTTGTAGGTACCTGTCTTCCAAGACGCATTTGCTGGCTACTAGACCGTGCATGTGCGTAGCCTGCTTGGATATAACTGCCAGCCATTCCTTCTCTGACGCCTTCCCGCCCAGAGTCTAGAAGTATGGATCCTTGTTCGCTACCATATGGTGGTGGTGGGGCCAAGCTTCCGGTTTGTGGTGCTAAACCCCACTTCTTAACATTGGCTTCAATGAATACGAAGCCCATCTGGCCAAAGTTGACATGGACGTGACATGGGCCATTTGCGCCGACTGTGGGGAAGAAGTTCTGGGTCTTGAGGCCGTGTGCGACATCATCAAGCCTTTTACCGTTGCGCGTGAAGAAGACTGTTCCGGTTCGAGGTCGGTATCCAACACCAATGACATCTCCTTGAACGTAGGCGGGACCGTATGCAGATGGTTGGAAGGGTTGGTTGTATCGGCGGTTTCCATTAGACATATATGATATTGACGATTTATGGTAACCTAAGAGGAGTTAGAATGTAAATCAAAAGATGGTGTGCAGTGGCAGACGCACCTGGGAGCCTAAACAATGGATATGGCTTGGTCGTCACGCCAATCGCTATGCTTGTGCTCTCGGGCTTTTCGTAAACCTTGGCTTCCCAGTAGTAGACTTCGTTCTGCTTGGGTATCGGTAGGTTGCTCTGAACACTGCATTCGGAATCGAAGAACTCGATTTCGGTACGGCCTTCTACAAAGCAATTTGCAATCTCGAGTTCGGGCTCAAATTCCCAGGCGGATACACCCTTTTCTTGGATGGCCAGGAATTGCGAAAGAGATATGTCGGTTTGGACGGACTCGGGCGGGTTTGCCTGGACGAATGCTATAAAAGTCAGTGCACGTCCGTTGCCATTGAGTGATTAAGCAAAGACGCAATATATCAGGCATACCTTTAGCTCTCAGGTACTCTGTTCGCTGCAGATCGTCCATAGACTCGAGCGCCTCGGCCTCTTCTTTGGCAAATTGCTGTTCGTCATCGTATTCACCCGGCCGCGTTATCCGGTCGAGGAAGATGCGGCCTGTTTGCGTGTATCTGAAGTAGTAAACAAT